AAAGAGTCGCAGCGCGAAAAGTTTATTTTGGTCGTCTGGATAGGCGGAAGCGTCAAAGTCATGCGCAAGGCCAAAGTCTCGATTCATCTCGCGGACGTCAAGACCGTTCTGAGGACGTTTTCGATCGAGGTGGCTGCAGAGCATAAAGAGGATTTGGAGGAAGAGCCGATCGTCGTGAGATTGAGAAAGGTATGTTTCTTTGAGCTGATCTAGCTATCGTGGATTGACTCGTGTCATTATAGGCTGGTGGTGCGAGTTACGATGGTGTATAATGTAGACTATTTACACGTTTTTGGTCGGATTGTCTTATAATTACAAAGGGAATGCATAGTCGTAGTCATGCAAAGTTTTACACGTACGGATACACGATTAAGACGGCTATCTGTGACCTTTCTGCCTGATACCTGCTACGGAGAGCTGGTGGTATCCGCTCGATACTGGGTACACTGCCATTAAGAGTGGAGCTCACCCAGCTAGCTGGTCCAGTCCCGGGCAGGTTTAGTTGACCGCCTATTGACTCTTTGGAGTCACGATTGGTCCTAGCCATTGATCGTGGTTGCCTGGGCTATTATATTTGTTCCGCTATCTTGTTGACGCCCCTCATCAATTGTCCATTCGAAACCTGCCCTCCTATAGCATACCAGCTCAGCCACCGAAGGATGTTCTGACATGTTTCCGTACCTCGTTTATTTGAAATTCCTTCATTGCATCTGTTGAAGGAGTAATCTTTGGAACCGATGGAGACCCGGTCAAGCAAAGCAACCTGTTGGATAGGACAGTGGGTAGAAGTAAAGCTGAGATAAAAGTTACCAACCTTTTCCCAAAACGGTTCCTGAACAATAGAATTCTGTATGTCTTTTGTGCGGGGTGCCATGTGTCGCCTGCCGCAGGGTCAGTACGGAATGTCCTTTAAATAAGCTACAGCTCTACTTACCCAAGGCGGGAAGCATGACCGCCTTAGCTCCAGCCGTCTCGAAATTCGCCGTCGAGCCATCTGCGGTTTGCAATCGGGTCGAGAGCTGCATCGTCACGACACACGCCACACTATAAACCACATTGCTGAGTATTCTGGCAAGTACTGTGCTGAACGAGGTCAACAACTTTTGCTTGACATTGTGGCTTGGTGCATGTTGAAAGACGGTTGATAGAGAGCTGATCAAGATGAGCGAGATGGGTGTATGAGCGCTTGGGGGTTGCGAGTGGCGATGGGATGGGAGTGGGCGGCTCGGACTTGTCCATTCGAGAGCGTCTTTCCCCACCTCGTAATCAACCAGTAACCAGTTCGTTTCAGTTTTATCATTGCGGACTTCCTCGTAAGCTGTGAGGAGGAAAGAGTGGTCAGTCAGTCGCGGCTCGGGCCATTCCGCTATGAGATGGCAGGCGACTGAGGTTTATTTTGTGGTAAACGAGGAGACGGACCTTCGGCAATCGTTGGATCAGAGACATCAGCCATGGTGTTGTATCCGATGTGAAAGACGTTCTTGGATAGATATCTTGTTCGAGGATGTGATCTATGGGAGGGGAGGTCGAAGATGGAAGCGAGCCTTGCTTTGTTCCCAACTTGGCCGTTGACAGCTCGTCCACTAGTCTACTTTTTATATTTTTTGGTCGCATGCATCGTGTTGGGACCGCGCTTAGGAAGGCTCCAGTTGAACTTCGGTGCTCTCTTCTTTCTTTTTACGCGGTTGGAACGCCACGAGCGTGTTCTACTGTACAGGCAGGCTATGGACTCGTAAAAGATGTACAGGGCGCGGCTAGGGCCGAGCCTGGTCTTTACCAAAGATCACAAGTATTACTTTACTCGGGAAATACGAATGTACCGAGTACGAGTAGAGGAATGGCGACGACCTCCAGAAGCAAGTCGTCGCCACCCTCCTCTCAACCCAGCAAACCTTTCCCTAACAAGACTGGAGAAAAAGAGTTGGCGATAAAAGCAAACAAGAAAGCAAAGCACAAGAAAAAGCTGGCGCAAAAAGCCGTCGCCTCCACCCGCCCCGCCAAACCCGTACAAGGCGCCTCTTCTTCCACGCGTAAATTGTTCGTCGCACCTTCCACCGAAAGGATATCTCGTATACCTGTATGGGCACGTCCACCCACCGCCGCCTTTACCCAAAAAACAAACGGAAAGTGGGGATGGAGAGGGAGTGCAGAGTGGTGGGAGGAAGAACGTTTCCCCCGACGGCCTCACATGGAGCGAACACCGTGCCAAGCTCAAAGAGAAATACCCAGAACCCTGGAACCCCTCTAAAAAAGTCTCGCGCGAGGCCATGGACGCCATTCGCGAGTTGTACAAGGCTGATCCTGACAAGTACCCCTCTCACATCCTTGCTGAGCGATTTTCGATCACGCAAGAAGCGGTGAAGAGGATTTTGAGGAGTAAGTGGAGGATGAAGGAGGAGCAAACGGCCGAGAGGGTGATGCGGCAGAGGAAGATGAGGGTGGAGAGGATGAAGGCGATGAGAGAGGAGGAGATGCATCAGATGGTTCGGGCTGGGATTAAGCTCAAGGTGCATCCGGATGATCAACTCGAGTTGCGTTGAAGGAGGGGAGGGTTTGGTTGGGTTGGTGGCGTGTGTGTGGCGTGAGTGTACCCTATTCTTCTGTAATGATGCGGTTATCTTACCTAATCATGTAGCCTTCTGATTGTGCGAGGTGCGGAGGAACCGTTCGCGGCTGCCCGTCAAGGGAGCTACAAGGTCGCACGGATCACGGCCAATCCGACACGAGAGAAAAATCAA